CATATAAAACTACAATGTTACATATAAACTACGAATTAAGAACTTTTTAAGAAATGAGACTAATCTAGCAAGTTTATTTAAACGTTTAACTTAAGAGAATAATTAAGGTGGTCCATACAAAAGGATTTAGCCGTGACATGAGAATGTTCACCCTGGCAAATCAATGGAAATTATTAAACGTGCAAAAGTTAACTGTTGGAATAAATTGTAATACCTTCATATGATCGTATATCATAACCTTTTAAAATGGTATTAAAGAGTTGCATTAATTGACTTAAACACATATTCGTAACACATCACTGAATAGGAGAAATACAGGCCAGCAAAGAACATAGAGTTGGTCCACTTTCTACAAAACAAAGACTAATAGCACGACAGCAGGGAAGGGGGAATGTGTCAACGTATACTTGTGTATATGTATATATATATGCATAGCAAGTAGGAACTTGAAAGGATATATATCAAATTGTTTACACAGATTATCTCAGAGAGGTAAATAACTTTGGCCTTTGGTGTTCTGTATTCCACATATTCTGAATTTTCTTCTTTTATTTAAACAGAGACGGGTTCTTAGCCAGGAGCAGTGGCTCACACATGTAATCCCAGCACTTTGGGAGGCTGAGGAGGGCGGATTGCTTGAGGCCAGGAGTTTGAGACCAATCTGGCCAACACGGCAAAACTCTGTCTCTACTAAATATTCAAAAATTAGCCAGGTGCAGTGGCTCATACCTGTAACCCGGGAGGCTACAGGCATGAGAATTGGTTGAACCAGGAGGCGGAGGTTGTAGTGAGCTGAGATTGCACCACTGCACTCCAGTCTGGGAAACAGACCAAGACGCTCTCAACAACAACAACAACAACAAAACAACAAAACAGAAATAAAGAGAAAACCTTATGGACCAGAGCAATGGCTCATACCTGTAATCCCAGTGCTTTGGGAGGTCAAGATGGGAGAATCGCTTCAGGCCAGGAGTTCAAGACCAGCATGGGCAACATAGCAAGACCTTTTCTCTACAAAAAAATTTAAAAAACTAGCCAGGCATAGTAGTGCATGCTTATACTCCCAGCTACCTGGGAGGCTGAGGTGGGAGGATCACTTGAGCATGAGAGGTGGAAGTTGCAGTGAGCTGCGATCACACCACCAGGGAGCCACAACCCCCTCCACACCTCCTTCCTCTGTCCTATGCTAGCAACAAATAAGTTTCCCAGCCACAAATAATTATTAGAACCTCCTCCCCATGTGCCAGCTCCAACCTCCGCTAGGTCCGATACAGGGGCAGCCCTACCCTCTGGGATCTACAAAATGTTACACAGACACAGTATGTACACCAGGGAAGGGGGCCACCCC